CCTCTTTGAAGATGATCATTTGGTGATTGAAACAAGTGTCGAGGTGTTGAAAATAACGAGTTGGTGTTGGGAAAAAACTCCATTAATATTCATTTAATCTTAATATACTATACGAACCTCAATATGGATTCCAAAGCCATAAAAACACAGGCGATGCAATCTTCTCTTTTCTGGAAGATGTATATATTGGTTCAAATAATAACGAATCTATTGGTGCAGAATTCTGTGATTTCTCAAAAGCGTTCGACTGCGTGAACCATGAAGCTCTATTATTTAAACTTCAGTGCTATTGCTTTAGAGGATTGTCAGGTGACTGGCTTTACATTTATCTAACAGGCAGGAAGCAGTTGGTAAAACTCCAAGAAAATACATCGCATTTTGAGAATAATACATTAGGTGTACCACAAGGTTCAGTTCTGGGTCCTATCCTTTTTCTGATTTATCTGCATGATCTAGTAATCATTGATAGGATATGTTCCAGACTATCTAGGTTGTGAGTGATGTTCGCGTTTCCAATTAGGTGAATGACTCTTTTCTAGATGGACTCCAACAGCTTCAGGTTATGTTCAGGGGTGGAGCTCCATACATACACACCATCTTCGAAAGATAGACATATGTGATCCAGTACTTTTTGTGGAAATACGTTCTCAAATAGTTGAGGCAGCATTTTCAATGCTGTGATAATGAATATTACTGGACTTCTACCCCAACACCAAATCGTTATTTTAACACCTCGACACGTGTTTTGATCACACCAAACCGTTATTTTAACACCTCGACATGTGTTTCGATCACCAAGGGATCATCTTTCAGAGAAAGAGTAAACTGTTCAATCTTTCTCTGGAAGATGATCACTTGGTGATCGAAACACGTGTCGAGGTGTTAAAATAACGGTTTGGTGTTGGGATAAAAGTACAGTAATGTTCAAATGTTAATATCAACGAAATGTTAATAAATCTTACACATCAATCTTCCCCTGAAATTACTTCATCCATTGGCAAAAATTGTATGGGTACATGTTCGGTGGTTTTTTAGTTTAGCGGAACACAGACAGACAGAAAGACAAACATATAGACATTTGAGAAGGGAGACTTTGATTTTTAGCATCTTGCGTTTATACCGTAATAATTGCTGGGACATCTATATAAAAAAAAATTCAACGTAATTGGTTTCGACTCTAACGTCAATTCTCACTCACATTCGTAAAATTTCGTTCGACTTCCGAGGTCCTGAACCTGTTATAAATGGTCCATAAAAAGTGTACTCTCGGAAGGATTTTCTCCTGGAAGTATGCGCAATTTATCAAAGCTGAACGTTTAGCTCTTGAATAAACATATCGCATGCCGTTTGCTCTGAAACGTTTAATCTGGGTTTTTGGCACCGCTGCACTGGCCTAAACTTCTCATGGATCTCACGCGTGGAAACGTGGAAGTAGGTTGTGAATGTGACCTCGATTACTCTTCCATACTCCCGGAGGATTGCAGATGATGGAATGCGGGGTGGTGACTGGGATACAATTCTTTCGTTTAAACTCTTGGCGGGGTTTCAGGAATTATTTCAGGCACAATGTTTCATGATTTTCTGAACCAGGACGTGTTTTATCAAATCTGGATCTCCGACAGTGTTTTTTCTCTGACTGAAATCTCCAAGTGAAGCAATTTTCAACTTTTTGAATGAACTGTATGTTGGCCTAAACGATGGAAGAGCTATGAAAGCAGTATACTGTTATTTTTCAAAAGCATTCAACTGTGTTAATCACAGAGTACTGCTCAAAAAATTATATTGCTATTGATTCAGAGGAGTGACACTCGACTGGTTTGCAAGCTATCTTTCGAACCGAAATCAGATTGTCAATTTGCCGAGTTGTTCCTCTGATATCTCAAAAATAAACTGGGGAGTTCCCCAAGGATCCGTTCTTGGTCCAATTCTTTTCCTTATTTACATTCATGACCTTAGTAAGATTGATATACATGGAACCTCTACCATGTTTGCAGACGATACCACCATACTATGGCATGGAAGTGAAATAGAAATTCTGAAAGGGCGTATCTTTCTAGACTTACAGAAAGTTAAAACCTGGTGTGACTCAAACTATCTTTGCTTCAACGAAAATAAAACCATAATCCTGACCTTCAAGTTCAATTATGAAAATCTGACTTCGAATGAACAAATCATAAATAATAATACCAGCATAAAATTCTTAGGTATATATGATTTGATGACCATGTAAGGACCATAAACAAAAACCTAGCTCCGGGCTGCTATGCAATCGGAGTTATCACTACGGAACTCGAAACAAAGACAGACAGAATGGCTTACTTTTCTCTCTTTGAATCACACTTAACCCCTTCAGTCCCAGATTATTATGAAGGTAGAAAAAAAAATAATAACGAATGTTTCGTGATCAGAGGTCATCTTAGGATCATCAGAGGGCAGGGGTTGAACATTATTTTTACTATTATATATTTTAGGAAGTGTCCCGCTCGGTGGACATCAGGACTCAAGAGTAATACAATTGTTTCAGTGAACACTTTTTTATTTGAATTATAATTTTACAAATATATAGGTACGAATTCATTTTCTGTGAAAGGAAAGAAAACAGTTTCTCTCTTTGAGAAAACGTAAATTACACTTGTCACAAAAAACATGAGTTTCTTTCGTGCATTTTTCAAATTTACATCGGGTTGCTTCTTTTTTCGAATCATAATTGGGCATATGATCCAAGCGATCATGACGAACCTCCATAAATAGTCGCTTTCTTTCACTACAATAATGTGTAGGGGTACTGGTGATAGACGAACTTGGAGATGCATCTGACGGACGTCCTCTCTTTCGTATGACGGGAATATTCATCTTCATGAGAGAATATGCCAATTGGAGACGAAAGTGGAACAAATCTAATGCTTTTTCCTTAGGGTTTTTTTTATTCTCATCGATAATGTGTTGGCGGTATTCTAACCAGCTATTCACTATAGCTAGATCCACACCATGAAAAAACATTCTTAGTGTCCACTTCCTTGATCTGACATATATTCAGCTTATCAGATGATCTAGCTTATCCACACCTCCCATACTTCTGTTGTACATTTTCACCACCTGTGGTCTCTTTACATGAACATATTTTTTATTTGTTTTATCCCATCGTTTCACTTCATCTTCTTCGCCTTTACCAATAAAATTCGAAGCAAGAACAACGGATCTGTTGTCAGACCATTTGCATAGAATTATTTCTGAACCTTCACTAACTATTTCTTCTGAAAAACCTCTCGGTTTTTTCTTTGCTT